AGCTCCGGGCCAGAGCTGGGGAGGGGCTCCCGGGGGTCCCACATGGCTGAGGATGAGTAGAGTGTCATTTCAGGGAAAGGATAGATTGGGATTTTTATTTTTATTTTTTTTCAGAACGTGAACTTATTGAACATGTTCCTTTTGGAAGTCCCTGGCCTGGAGGGGATTGGGAGGGAGCTGCCKGGCAGGGCAGATGCAGCTGCCCCGGCTCAGGTTTCACTGCTGTTGGATTTCAGGGGGTGCTTTCTTCTCTTCCTTTTTGAACAAAGCCTTGAAGTGGGAAGTGGATCCGATGTTTTTATTACTGTATTAACATTCATTTTAATTCATTTCAGAAACTAACCCATTTTTCTTCCTGATTAGAATGTCATAGAATTAGACGAGCTGTAACCCCTCCTGAAGTGCCTTATTTTCCTACATGATATAAATATATTTATAAGAGTAATTATTCCACTTGTGTCTTGGGGGTTTATTGCTGAGCAGGAGCTGAGGTGGGAGAGGAAGGATGGGACGTGCCCTCCATGGCCCAGCCAGGCTGGGATCAGTGGGTGACGTTTGATGGATTCTCTCAGGGTGCAGGGGTTCCTCACTTCAGACCAAAGGAGCTTCAGCAGTGCAGCTCTGCTTAGAAAGAAGGAAAAAAGAYAAAAAACCCCAACCTTGTGAGCAAATACTGTAGATTTGTCAGGGTTTTTTTTTTCCCCTGCAAAATAAACACTGATGGTGGGACTGTGCAGGGAGGCAGTGGGTGTGGGGGATCAGAGCCCATCCCAGCACATCCCAGCACATCCCAGTGCAGACTCTGCCTYCTCTATTCCAGTCTAATGTCTGTCTGTGCTTTTCCCTGTCGGTTGCTGTATATGCCAGATTTCCTGCTGCTTTGTTTTGTTGTTTTTAATAATCAGCTCAGTAACCCCTGGATGAAGATCCCAACTGCAAATATTTTGTAATGTACATGTATAAAAAAAAAAGTAATAATTTTTTTGATCCTTTTTTAAAACTTGATAAAACCTTTCTATCCAGTGGGTGCCTGTGTGTGTTACTGTGGGGTGTGTGGGCCTGGGGTGGCACAGGGGCTGTGGTGGCTCCGTGTGTGACTTGGAGGGGCTGCAAGGGGTCCTAAAGCTCATCCCATTCCTGGGCAGGGACTGTCCCACTGTCCCCGGGTGCTCTGAGCCCTGTCCAGCCTGGCCTTGAGCAGGGACGGGGCAGCCACAGCCTCTCTGGGCAAAGCTGGTTCATTCCTGGAGCACGGGAGCTCCTGTGCCACCCGTGCCACCCGTGCCTGTCCCTGTGTCCCCAGTGCCACCCGTGCCTGTCCCCGTGTCCCCAATGCCACTGCCGGGGTGGCCCTTGGGCAGCGCAGTGACCGTGGCAGGGCCGGCTGTGTCCTGTCCAGGCTGGTACAGAGGAGAGGCAGCACATCCYGAACTGTGTGACAAACACCATCAGCACTGCCACCTTCCCGTGCSAGCAGGGCTGAAGGTTATTCACAGTGGGATTTGAGGGTCACAGCACGGAGGAGGCCCCTCCCAGGAACAGCTCCAGCCTCCCCCAGCCCTCCCCGCCATGGGAATGAGCTTTAGGCTCCATCTTGCAGAGCAGATCCCTGCAGCGGGGCTGGGAAGGGGCTGCAGCAGCTTCTCACCTCCATTTCACAGCTCTCAGCACTGAATGTGCCTGGCACTGGTGGCTGCTGGCCCCAGGCTCAGGTGCCTCTCTGGCCTCGCTCCGTGGGGCTCTGTTTCCTTGTGCTTGGTGAAGAGCAACAAAAGCTCAGTCCCTGCTGCTCCCATCCCCGCTTCACCGCGGGCTTTGCTCTGCCAAATTCCCTTGGCTTTAGGAGACACCGGTGCCTCGCTCCGCAGCGCTGTGCCTTTCTTGGCTGACAATGGGCCCTGGCTGCAAAACCTCATTAGATTAATTGGCCTTGCCAGCTCCTGAACAAGCAAGGCCTTTAGTCGTGCTGGGGCGCGAGGGCAGGGGAAGGAGGGAGCTCTGGAGCTTCCACAGTTGCTCGAGCTGCTCTTGGCTCTGCTTGGAGCTGGGAGGAGCAGAGAGAGCTCCTGGCTGCCCTTGGATGGGGGCAGCTGCCACACACGGGGACAGGGCCTCGTGTGTGGCAGCCTCTGCTTTTTTGGGGTGCAGGGCAGCCTTGTGCATTTGGGGTGACAGCCCTTCAAAGTCATCACCAGGGTTTTGGAGGTGTTGGTGAGTTTTGTGCTGGTTTAACCCTCCAAATGACAGGGAAATGTCAGTCCSAGATCTGCTTTCCTGGGTACCCCATGGGGCCTTGTGCTTCCACCCTTCCTGGAGCCCGAGGCCGAGGTTTATCCTGGTGCAGGAGGAGAAGCTCAGCAGCGCTGGAGCTGTGTGAGCTCAGCCCCACCCGTGAGCAGCGATTTTCCTGCTGCAGCTGGGGCAGTGTGTGCACAGCTCCACAGCCTCGGCACCCCGACCTTGGCCTCTGATCCTTTCTGTGCCCGTCTGTCTCCTGCCCAGCACCGGGCTCTGGGTCACAGGAGCCTCCGTCTCCAAAGACCTCTTGAATTTTCTGCTGCAAGGTGGTGTTAGCAACACCCAGAAGCTGCTGCCGGCTGCCTTGGACGAGTGGGCTGCGTGTCCTTTCCACCACTGACGTCAGCTTCTCTCCCTTAATTCCCCCTGTGGGACCGAGGCGAGAGCAGGCGCTGCCAGCTCGGATCAGCGTTAGCAGCCAGCCTGCTGTCCCCGTGTGTGGCAGTGCCAATGTCACCCCAGCCCTGTCCCCGTGTGTGGCAGTGCCANCCAATGTCACCCCAGCCCTGTCCCCAGCCCTGTCCCCAGCCCCGGCGCTGCGAGAGCTCTCCCTTCCCCAGCAGCCGGGAAGGGCCCGGTGCCAGCAGAGCTCCCGTTCGTTCCTCGCTCGTAGGTGTGCTGAGATGGCAGCTCAGCCCCTCAGAAATGGCTGACTCCTCTCTCTCCTCTCTCTCCTCTCCTCTCTGCTGCCTGGTGGGTTTTTTCTCTCCTCCTCCCTGCCTTTGCCGTTGCCTACGCGCTTGTGTGGGGAAGGCAATCGGCTCCCGTGCTGCGGATGGCTTTATCTGTAACTCTTCCATCTGCTCACAGCAGCTCACAAATAACCACGGGGTGCCAGAGGAATTATGTTATTTGGAGCTCAAGTTTCTGCAGTCTGGCAGGGCAGCAGCTCTGCGCCGGGCTCAGCCGCTCCACAAAGGCCAGCGCCAGCAAAGCCAGGGCTGAAGGCAGGAGCTGGGGACGGGGCCAGGGCCGAATTACTGCCCGTGCAGTCACACAGAGCCCTGTGCAGTCACACAGAGCTCAGCCCAGGATGAGAGCCTCATCCTCTGGGAGCTCCCGAGGGGAGCAGAGGGTCCTGTGGGATCTGTGGTGCTGCAGAGCTGTGGGTTCAGGGCACAAATCCACCTCCGGTGTCACACGGGGCAGCAGGGATCAGATGGAGCTGCTGACCCCCTCTCCAGCCCTCCCTTGGCTGTTTCCCACCAAGCACAGCCCTTCTGGATGGAATTCTCTCCCGGAAAGTGCCATCTGATGCCTCAGAGCCGTGGCCGTGGTGGTGGCCGGGGACGATGCTCGGGGCCGAGCTGTGCCGGGAAATGCCTCCCGCTGCCTCCAGCATTTGGTAAAACACTTACAGCAGGGCCGTGTTTTCTTCATTTCCTGCCTGCTCCTGCTTCCAAGGAAACAAAATCCCCCAAGCCAGGGCTGAGGTTTCTCATTTAAATGTAAGCCAGACCCATAAGGGGAGCTGCCAGCCCTCGCCATGCCCGGCAGACCCGGGGGGCTGCAAAGGGCATTTCGGGTCCCATCACGGGCTCCAGTAAAGCCCTGGAGCAGAGTCTCATYTCATCTGTGGGGAAGGGCAGCTCTTGGCTGTGCCCCAGGCAGGGCACTTGGGGTTCTGTGTGCCACTGGGAGGTTTTGGGGTAGCAGCAACTCCTTCCTGTTCCATCTGGCAGAACCCCGATGGTTCTGGCGCTGGGATTGGAGCAGAGGCTCAGAGAGGGGSGTTTGGGATCAGCCCTGGCTCTGCTGTGGGTGCTGCCAGCTCTCTCCCCTGCACGGTGGCCACGGGCTTGGAGCCTGATCTGGGCCCTGGTGATGCCAGCAGGATCAGCTTTGCCCACACCAGAGAAGGGGAGCAAACCCCAGCCCACCCCTGCCCGCACTGCGGCACAGGCAGAGCTCGGAGCTGTCTGTGCTTGCAGCATCTGCTGGGACCTGGGAAGGGCTGGCCCTGCCAGATGTGCGAGCACAGCTGGGGTGAGGCCCCGTGTCTCTTAGCTCATATTTTAACCCCAAAGTTGGGCCCTYGGTCTCCCCCCAGGCTCTCCTGCACATCCCTGACGTGGGGGTGGCTGCTCAGCGCTCAGCGCCTTCTTGGATGGATCTGACTCTTTTTTATAGCTCCACTTTCTGCATCTTTCTCCACCAAAAAAGGGAGCAGGCTGGGCTCTGCTGGCTCTCCC